ATGAGAAAATCTTCCTGGACAACACATGGAGACCCAGTTAACAGTATGTGGATCATCCATGTTCGAAGGAACATGATGGGTCTTGACACATTAGCAGTAGATACAACACAGAGGACACCATCCATAGAAAAGACAGGAAGTCTAGAGCTGTGGGGAGTCTAAAAAAGTCACATGGCCCAGATGTCTCCTCCCAGTACCATGTCATTAATTTTCTAGGCCTGTCATAGCAAAGCACCACAGACTGAGTGGCTTACACAAGAGATCTATTGTCTCACAGTCCTGGAGCCTAGAATGTTGAGATCCAGGGCCAGCAGGCTTGGTTCCTTCTGAGAGCTGTGAGGGAGAATCTGCCTTATGCCACTTTCTTAGCTACTGATGATTTTCCATCAATCTTTGATACTCATTGCCTTTTAAAAACATCACCCCTGATCTCTGCCTTCATTTTCATATGATGTTTTCCCTATGTGCATGTCTGTCTCTAAGTTTTCCTTTTTTAAAATAAGGATACCAGTCATGCTGGATTATGCTGCACCCTAATGACATTTTAAATTGATTACCTGTTTAAAGAACTTACCTCCAACTCAAGTCACATTCTGAGCTACTGCATGTTAAAAATTCAACATATGAATTTTGGGGGGACATATGTTAAGAATTCAACATATAAATTTTGGGGGGACACAAATCAATTCATAACAACACGTATCTAAAACTCTAAGGAAAATGGAAGGAGAAGAAATCCAAATTTGAGTGAAGATTTAATAAGAGACTGAACTGAAAATGGCATGACTGAGTCAGCTTGTGTGTCAAACAGGCTTTAACATGACCCCTGTGATCCCCAACTCCTGAGAATCATGTCTTTGTATAATTCCCTCCCCTTGCATATGGGTGGGACCTCTGACTTGCTTCTAACAGAATATGGCAAGATGATGGGATGTCATGCCTGTGTTAATATCACTTATATAAGACTCCATCTTGCTACTAGACTCACTTTCCTTTTCTGGCTTTGAAGAAGCAAGCCTGTTATTGAAAGAGAGCTTATGCGCTGGGTGTGGTGGCTCACACCTGTAATTCCAGCACTTTGGGAGGCTGAGGTGGGTGGATCACCTGAGGTCAGGAGTTTGAGACCAGCCTGGCCAACAAGACAAAACCCTGTCTCTACTATGAAAAAATACAAAAATTAGCTGGGCATGGTGGCGTAGCCTGTAATCTCAGCTACTTGAGAGGCAGGAGAATCTCTTGCACCTGGGAGGCAGAGGTTGCAGCGAGCCAGGATCATGCCACTGCACTCTAGCAGCCTGGGCAACAGAGCAAGACTCTGTCTCAAAAAAAGAAAAAAAGCATAGGAAGAGGGTCATACAAGAGGCGGCGGGACGTTTAGGAGCCAAGAGTAAGAGCTATCAGGAAGGTGGAGCTCTCAGTTTTACAAGCACAAGAAAATAAATTCTACCACAACCTAAGTAAGCTTGGAAACAAACCAGTTGCCAATGGAGCCTCCAGAAGCCTGGAGCCAACATTTTGATTGTGGCCTTTCTGAGGATTCAGCTAAGCCTTGCCCAGACTCCTGACCCACAGAGGTTGTGAGATAGAAAATATGTGGTGTTTTAAGTTGTTATTAAAAGAAAGAAGGAGGAAGAACAAGAACAAGAAAAAGGAGGAGGTGGGGAGGGGAAGGGAAAGAGGAGAAAGAAGGGAGAAGGAAGAGGCCAAGAAAAGGGAGGAGTAGAGAAACAGGAGCTATTATCTTCCTTTCTTTCCAAGTTCCCCTTGCCACAAGCCTATGTTAGGGTGTGTGTGGCTTTAATTAGAATATGAGACTGCATCTTAAAACAAGAAGAATTAAACTTTGATCACCTAAAGGAATCTACTTCAGAAAGGGATATTCAACAGAGCATCTTTGGAGATGAGTAATTAAATAAATGTCAGAATTATTTTATATTTATATCCTACTGAATTAAGATTCCTTCCTAAAACCTGATACACACATGCACAGAAAATGCATTATTTCACATCACATTCCTGATTAAAATCCTGCCCAGCACCTCTATTTTCGGCAGAATAAATGACACTTCTTAGGCTGGCATGCCAAATGCCTGATTGGCAGCCCCACCAATTCTGCCAAGCCTGGTCTCCAGCCACTATTCTGTATGGACTAGGAAAACCAAGTGAAATAACCGTCCATGGAGGGCTTCCACTGAACCACTTGTTGAGAGGAGCAGCACTCTCTGTTCTGTCTGTTAAATACATTGACGCTCACATTGAGATTTAACTGCTGTCATCTAGAGCAGTGATCCTCAACTTTTTTGGCACCTGGAACTGGTTTCGTGGAAGACAGTTTTTCCACAGACTCGGGGGAAGGGGTTGGTGGTGGGGCTGGTGCATGTGATTTCAGAATGAAACTGTTTCAACTTCAGCCATTAGAGTCTCATAAGCATGCAACTAGATCCTTCAAATGAACAGTTCACATTAGGATTCACACTCCTATGAGACTCTAATGCTGCCACTGATCTGCGGGAGGCTGAGCTAAGGTGGTAATGCTTGCTCACCCACCACCCATCTCCTGCTGTGTGACCTGGTTCCTAACAGGCCGTGGACCAGTACTGGTCTGTGGCCCCGGGATTGAGGACTCTTGTTCTGGTGCACTCCGTGCTTCTGATCCCAGCAATTGCTGTGTAAAACTCATCCAAGTCAGTTGTGTGTATTCCTAAACTTGTTTGAGCCAGCAGGACTTGTAATTGTATTATGCAAGATTATAATATAAATGTGCAAAAATATGCATATAAAAATGCATATAAATATGCAAAAATGGCTGCTGATCTATTAAAACTACTTTGAATGAGTTGAAAAGACTTGATAATAATATGTTGGTAGCAAATTGAAAAAAATGTTGCTAGCAAATTGGGATGGAAAAGTGATGATGAAAGATCTGGGAGTAGAAAATCTTAAAAAAAGCTAGTCCCCTACGCTTAGCTTTCTTTGCAAGAGTTTTAAAGTCCTTTCTCATTTAAACAAAAGTCAAACTGGAAAGAGTAGATTATGTGTTATGGGAGTCTGTTACCTAAGGAAGAAAAAGGTGAAGCTACAACTAATAACTTCACACTCAAAGAACTGAATCTTGTAACGTATCATAGTTTGACATTGTGTTCCCCCAAAATTCATATGTTGAAATTCTAACCTTTAAGATGATGGTTTTAGGAAGTGGGGCATTTAGGGTGATTAGATCGTTAGGGCAAAGCCCTCCTGGCTGGGATTAGTGCCTTTATGAAAGAGGCCCAGGGGAACTTGTTTGTTGCTTCCACTCTGTGAAGACAGTGAGAAGTTGGCAGTCTGCAACCCAGAAGAGGGCCGTCTCCGGAACTCAACCATGCCGACACCCAGATCTTGGACTCCCCAGCCTCCAGAACTGTGAGAAATCGATTTCTGTTATCAGTTATAAGTTACGCAGTCTGCGGCATTTTGTATAGCAGCCCGGATGGACCATGATGTAATAAATGTGTGGTGAATGAATATACAGCCAACTGTTTTAAAGTAAAATGTCCAAGGTAAATATATGTTCTTTTCTTCTCTCTCTCTCTCTCTCTTTTTTTTTTTTTTTTGAGATGGAGTCTCACTGTTGCCCAAGCTGGAGTGCAGTGCCATGAGCTCAGCACACTGAAACCTCTGCCTCCCAGGTTAAAGCGATTCTCCTGCCTCAGCCTCCCCAAGTAGGTGGAATTACAGGCATATGCTGCCATGCCCAGCTGAATTTTTTCTGTATTTTTAGTAAAGACAGGGCTTCACCATATTGGCCAGGCTGGTCTCGAACTCCTGACCACAGGGTTTCACCATATTGGCCAAGCTGTTCTCGAATTCCTGACCACAGCTGATCCACCAGCCTTGGTCTCCCAAAGCTAGGATTACAGGTGTGAGCCACTGCGCCCCATCTATGTTATTTTCTATGAAAGCGCTTTTTGTACAACCTTCTGGAGTAGCCACCAACACATTACTGTTCTCAGTCAAGACAGGTAAGGAGGCATCACCCACTGTATTGATAACCCTGCAGATGTTTCACATGCACTTACATCAGGACTTTGAACAAGCTTTTCCCTTACCAGGAAGCAGCCTTCCTACACTCCAGGCTCCGTTACCTACCGTGCTCTAACTTACCCTGTGCTACCATATCAAGTGGGACCTCCTTCACGTTGCCCTTTTTTGCTATTTATTCTGTAGTGTGTCCTTCTCCTCCTTTTGCTCTTCTTTTTTTTCCCCCTTACTTAGAAGTGGAACGCTCTTCCTACATTTGGGGAATGCCCCACGCTATGGTTCTTGCCTGTTACTGGAAGATGAAAATATCTGATATTCTCTTCTCCACTACCCATTGCTAGATCTCGGGCATCTGAACTAGGCTTATTCAACCACAGGCTCTGCTGCCTTTAAGCCCACAGCCAGGGATGTGAAGCCACTGGGTGCTGCTTCTGAGACTATTCTGGGCTGGTGGTAGCAATGGAGGTAGCTGTTTTCAGTTTCTGGAGGTGTCGGTGGCAGAGATAGAAAGTGGCTCTGTGGCCTCCAAGACCAGTTCTTCACCCTCCTAGATAGTCTGTGAGCCCTCATAATAACCTGTAATAAGGTCATTTTCTGCTTAATTAGCCAGAACTGATGTTTCTTGCTTATAGCTAAAAATTATAATGGATATTTTGCATTAAAACAACGGTATTACATTGTGCCTATTCCCAGGTGTCTTTGCCTTCATGCAATTGTGAGCTGGAAGTGTCCCATTTTACCTCTGCAACCCTAGTGCCCAGCACAGTGCAAAGCTGTACAGAGCAGATCCTCAACAAATCGTTAACTGATTTATTAATTGATTAACTACTTAACAAAAAAGAGATTCCTCTGAAAGTCCAAACCCATAAAGTGACACCAGATGACATCATAATGTTTTCAGGGGCTGAAGAGACACGTGGTCCATTCTGGGTATACCTCTATTCACAGATTCCAGAGAAGACAGGCACAGCCACAAAGAGTTCCATAGCATTTAATTAAATATGATATGGTTATATACATTGTACACATATATACTAAGCAGCTCGGCAAAATGTTTGTAATGCATGTGGAAAGTACACAGTCAAATCAGAGATCTTCACTGTAGTGAACAATGGATATTTTAAAGAATAATCCCAACAATAAATCATGGACCAGGCAAAAATGCTACCTAATCTGCATCATTTCTCAGAGCTCTACCACATATTCTTCCTGGCCCCTTCCGAGTCTCATAGCCCCTCTAGAAGAGCTAAGAAAACAGGTATGCACCTCTGAAACAGCCCATACTTGGCTTTTCTAAAGGAAATTCCCATGGAAACCACATTGAAGGAAGAGGCAAAGGTTGGTAGGAAATCAACCGCATAAGCCAGGGTGCCCTAAATGTGGTTGTTGGACCAATTTAGTTGCCTTTGCATTTCATGCTATATAGACTTAGCAGTTTACATTTGGGATTAATACATTGCCTCTGATCAGTAGGATTTTTTTCCTTAATAAAATCTGAAAGTATATTGGGCAGAACCAATTAGTAATCTTATATTACACATAGGTATGTAATCAAGAATTAACAGCAGTTATGATTATATGATTATAATACATGCATTTTAAATGCTCCAGTAACAGACAGATGCTCAGACACTAAATTCCAATGAAAACATCTGCCAAACAATACTGAGACAGAGGAGTTTAGAGCTGGAGATGCCTCAATGTTTCTCTACAGTTCATCTCATTTCCTCGAGAGATTGTCTATTTATACCAGAGATACAACATTACAGCTCTCAGTTCTGACTTAATGTGTGAGGTTTGGTAATTTACCTGTCTTCTTGTGTCCCAATTTTTCCAAAGTCAAAGAAAACAATAAATACTTCAAAGAACCTCTGTGAATAAGGTATCAGAGACCTAGGCTGGGCGTGAGATTTTGTGGAACCTCCTATTTGAAACTTGACTCTCACTTCTACAAAAGGTAAACAGCACCCGTCCACCTGATGAAAAGTGTTTTCTGCTTCCTACAAACCAGGCAGATTCTACCTTTTCTCCACACGAATTTACATCATTTTCGTGGCATTTGCTCTGTCGCCAACAGGGCACTTTCAACATGCCTCTTTTGTAGCATTTTGTAGTATAATAAAAATTTGTTTACTAAGCTGTCACTTTAGATTTTGCACTTTATGAGGAAGGGTGTCATCCTTTAGACACCCTTCTAAAGGTTATTTGCCTTTAGATCCCCTGCGTCTAACACTATGATTGGCTCATAGCAGGCTTTCCATAAATGCCTATCAAGTAGGTGGAAAGAATGCTTATGGAAATGCTTTGAAAATTGCCAAAGTGCTAAGTAAACCTAAGGGATTACGGTGTTGTATTTATTACTGCTGATGCAGAGGAGAGAACTTTGGAAAGGAAAACACTCATCTGAAGAACAAGATGGTCCGATTTTACCAGTCTGTTAAGCCAACAGGTAAGGTCTATTCATCCACAGTTAAAACCCATTCACAGACAACACAAAACAAACAAGAAAACTGAAATACCTAATCCCGCTAAATAAAGTAAAAACCAAACAAAGAAAAATATTCAAAACAGAAAATCAATAACAATAAACCTCAAACAAAACCCTGAACCTTTGGCCCCTTCTTTAGTTTTCTGTGCAGCTTTTACTTTTTGTGGTTCTGTGAACAGCCAGGGTCTGGAGGCCTGCAGGAGAGGGGTTTGCTGCACTTCCCTGAGCTAACATTACTCTATTGCCTTGACTTTGAGCTAGTCATTAGAAATTAATCTAGACCAAGAAAGACGAGACGATAAATGTCAAACATTCATAATGCGTCTCTTCTGTATATCTTCAAGAATGTAGCCACAGTCAGTTCACTCATTGCATGTGCTTGTAACTCTTTCTCCTCTAAGTTTGTGGCAGCATCTATTGCTGGAGAACTCAGGACAATTTGGGGATGAATTAGGTCTGGGTAGTGTCTATATGCATGGGAGGAGTTATGCCTCCTCTCACTCATCAAACACACCCATGTCCAGGGTCAGCAACAGGTTCCTCTGAGATCATGGATGGATGCAGTTGGGTGGTAGCAGCAAGAGAATCACAGTCTTGGTAACAAACAAGAGAAATTGTGAGTTGTGAGTTTCTAATTTATTCCCTCTTGAGCTTATTTTCAGAAAAACGAAATCAAATGGGCTTCATGGTTTTTTCTTGACTTCTTTCCCTTCTTTTGACATGACTGGTCATGGGGCTTCACACCCACAAGACCAATTTCCCCCACTTTCTTTCTCATAGCCATTTTAATTTAAGTGACCATAGGTATGTCCCCATTTGTCTGGGGCAGTCCTAGTTTCTCCTCATTGTCCTGGAGGGATTATATATAAGTTCCCCTTTCGCTTTCCAAAGTGACCCAGTTTGGATCATAAATTATCTAGTCACATCCTGTTACTAGTGAGGTTTGGCACTCAAAAATGGGGAAGTCCTCAGTGAAGAGAAAGGCACATGGCTCAGGGAACTGCAATCAGACTCCCGGCCATCATATCTTGGCCTCACCTTTCACTGTGTGAACAACTTGGACAAGCCACTTAACTCCTTAGTTCTTGAATCTAATGATCTATAAAAAAAAAAAGAGAGCAGTTATAGTAATTGCACACAGCTCCCAGGATTATTGTGAGGATAGAGACGTGCAGAGCACTTGCACAGCATTGGATATATACTAAATCCTAATAATGGCAACTATTATTTATTTATTTATTTTTTGAGACAGAGTTTCGCTCTTGTTACCCAGGCTGGAGTTCAATGGCGTGATCTTGGCTCACCACAACCTCCGCTTCCTGGGTTCAGGCAATTCTCCTGCCTCAGCCTCCTGAGTAGCTGGAATTACAGGCATGCGCCACCATGCCCAGCTAATTTTTTGTATTTTGAGTAGAGACGGGGTTTCACCATGTTGACCAGGATGGTCTCAATCTGTTGACCTCGTGATCCACCCGCCTCGGCCTCCCAAAGTGCTGGGATTACAGGCTTGAGCCACTGCACCCGGCCCGGCAACTATCATTTTTCTTCTTTCTTTATTTCCCCTCTTGCTCTCTTCCTGCTGTCCTCACTCCTAAATTCTTTCCTTTACTCTTTCATACTTTCCTCTTTCTTAAAAAAATAGCTGAATCATTAGGTCAACTTAAACCTTGTGACCAGGCCGGGTGCAGTGGCTCACGCCTGTAATCCCAGCACTTTGGGAGGCTGAAGTGGGCGGATTCTGATGTAAGGAGCTTGAAACCAGCCTGGTCAATATGGTGAAACCCTGTCTTTACTAAAAATACAAAAATTAGCCAGGGGTGGTGGGGCATGGCTGTAATTCCAGCTACTGGGGAGGATGAGGCAGGAGAATGGCTTGAACCCAGGAGGTGGAGGTTGCAGTTAGCTGAGCGACACTGCACTCCAGCCTAGGCGACAAAGCAAGATTCCATCTCAAAAAAAACAAACAAAAAAACCCCTAAAAAACCTTGTGACCAAATCCACATGGTAGAAGCAGGGTGCTCTTTCCTCATGTTGAGTGCTACTGAACTCAGGAAACGTGGTCAAAGCAATGTTTCAGAATGCTGCAAGACTGGGTAGTGGGGTTTTGCTAATTTTGTCTTCTTTGTGCTGTGAGGGAGACTGGCAACTCTAGACTTCCCTTCTAAATCACCTTTGTGGCTCACGGTGAGTTCAGTCTGGGTTTCTTACACTTCACCGCTTTTGGCAGAAGCTGGACATGGTGACGTATGCTTCTTCTTTATTTGATCCCAGGAAAGTAAGGATGGGCTGCCCCTGAGCAACTGGGTTCAATGTCAGGATTCTGGATTGGGGAGGAAATGAAGGAGGCAGGGTGCTGTTTGTAGTTCCAAGGCTAAGGAGGAGGTCCTGGTTCACATGAGGCCCATTCGTGGCACTCTCTCTGCAGTCTAAGGACCTGGAAGAGGAGAGTATAGGGGCATCATGTGCACTGACATTCCCAGCCAGGCATCTGAGGGGTGAATCTCTTCCAAAAGTTTCTGGGGTGGTGACTACATTCTCAGATGGCCAGCTGGGGCTCTGCACATCCCCTCCAGGTCTCTGTGTCTCAGATTCTTCTAGTTGTGGAGGAACCGTATCTTGCAGAAAGCCTTCAACTTCATCTCTAGCTTGAATGTCATCCACCCTATGAATCTGGCAGTCCAGGAAACTTTCGGGATTGAAACTCACGATTAAATTCTGCACAGAAAAAGGAGAGAAGGCCTTAAAACGGCACCAGAGAGACACACCACCAAAGGTTCAATTCAGGAAAAGGTCTGAAGGGTTTTCTGACAGGAAACATCACAGAATTGCCCACATGTTCCTCAAAGGACTCTTTGCTTCTGAGACACTTCAAGACTTGATGTGACCAGTAGCTGTGCCCTCCAGCCCCAGGGAGCCCAGAAGTTCTGAGATATGTATGTTGTTTCAGTTCCCTACTGCGGCTCGGGTTTTGGGAGGGACCCTAGTTACAGGATGCATCAAATACCAGAAGCTGAGGTATTTGATGCATCAACTGTTCCTTGTCCTGGAATGTCATTTTTGGCCACTGGGATGTTGCCAACACAATATTTTTTAAGCACTAAAAACACTCACCTTGCTTGGTTTCTTACACAGATGTTCCAGAGTCTTCTTATGATCTGGGAGACTAGGCCATATAATAGGCTTAATCCTGAAATCAGAGGACATCGATAGATGAGGTGAATGGCAGAGGGCACAGGCACACTGAGTCTTCCCACTTATTCTGAGCCCGGAATCAGAAGAACAGATTTCCAGTCTTGGCTCTATCACAATTAGGTGGGTGACCATGCTCAAGGAACTTGCTTTCTCTCGGCCTCAGGGCCCTATCAATTCAAGGAGGGGTTGAACCAGAGACCAGTGCTATCCATCCATTCTGTGAACCAGGCATGACAGTAATATACCTCTGGGAAAAAGCCCTAGAGGGAAGGAACACCAAGGCTTGCAAGGAAGTCGTTTTGGTGGAGCTATGGAAGTACAATTTGACCCCACTGTTTACTCCCAGTTTAAGTGTTGCCTTTATATTCCTTCTCTTTACTGGCAGCAATTCCGTCAGCTAATTTTGGCAGAAGTGGGGAATATTTTCAAATTACCCAGGGAAATTGCTTAGTACTTTCAAGGCAGTGCTTTTCAAATTAGGGTATTTATAATCCTGGGGGTATGTAGCCTTCTGCCAAGGGCATCCTTCTAGAATATTAAGTGACTTCACAAGTGCATGTCTAACACATCATTATTATGATGAAACAAACATAGGTTTACCATGGATTAGAACACAAAATTCCATGAATTTGTATATTGAAAGTCAAAACTTCAAGTACATTGTGCATTTCCATGAATGATGGCTTCTGCAACCTTTAGGGGCTGCTGGAAGAAAAGCTTGGGAAACATTGCATTACAGAATTCTTACTTTGGTGACACGGTTAAAGGGTTTGCCCAATGTCCAATTTGTATATTTTTACCTCTTATGAAATTCACTGTGGGAATTCACTGAGGATAGATAGGAATACTGGGCACTAAATTTGTGAAATGCCTTATTCCCCTTTGCAGTTTTCTCATCAATAAATGGGGATGAAGTTCTAACTGTCTGTGATCCCACATAATCAGCCTCTTTATTAGTTGAAGAAAGTCACCTTTTTTTCCATAACACACAGGCCAAGATGACCAACAGAACCACAGATAAAACACTCAAAATGCTGATGGTTAGTAAGGTAGGATTCGTCTCCCCTGGAAAGCAAGAATAGATTGTGGTAAGCATTCAGTAGCCACACAGTGAGGTAGGGTCTCAGGATGCTTCACATTTACTTAGTAATGTGGGCCCAGTTGTTACTTCTTGAAAGCTGCTTTTCAGTTAACAGAGAGATGTGACAGCTTTATGGAGGGATTTTGGCTTAAAAGGCATTGACTCAGGTGACGAGGCCCAGAACATCTGCCACTTGAAATGTAAACATGGTCTGGCATCAAAGGTACCAATGCTTCCTTCCCTTCTTGACTATCCATCAAGGGAAAGAAGTCTGAGCAGGGGATAATGAGAGTGATGTTCACCCCATTGCAAACTCTAGGGAGGGGATGTCTCAGTTCCTAAACATTCGCGGTTCTAGTTCCAAGGATATCTTCATCCTTCTGGAAAAGGAGATATGGGACAGCCACACCTGCCTGCACACCTGACACCAATAAATGTGCTTCTTGGAGAGGTCTTAGAGTCACCAGCCATTGGGGTCCCAGGCCAAATCGGTTAACTGGAGGTAGTAGGTGGGGATCTTGCTCAAAATTTATGTCAGCTTCCAGGAACACAGACCACCTGCACTAGTTCTCAGCTAAGTAAGGACCCCACTCCCTCTGCTTCCTTGTTCTTCACAAAAGGGGCAAGGAGAGCAGGCAAGTCATTCTCCAAAGTGTAAACATGCACCCCAGGGGGGTCCTATTTTGCTGGTTAGTTTCAATAATCTCTCTCTCACTTGTTCCCTCACTTTGACCAGCAAAGCACTCTGGGGGAACGAAAGCTCTACCACCATTCTTTACCTGAGTGATTATTGATCTCTGGCGTTCTGAAATAGTAACTTGGACTCCATTCACTCCAGAAGCCTTTAAAATAGTCACCAGGGATGGATCGAACTTTAATCTCATACGTTGCTTTTGGTTGGAGCTTTCTCTGCAAGAGTGTCAGCTTTGTGCTGGATAAATTCACATGCTGGAGAGTAAAGAGTGCAGTTACGTTCTTAGGATGGGAAAAGAGGTGTTGCCTAAATCTCCCAAATCATTTCAGGTAGAATTCCTTTAGTCCCATAAGCATTCTCCTAAGGTTATCTCATATTTGTTAGAATAAGGAGCTCTGATATGTGGAGGAGTCAACAGCAAAATTGGGGACAGAATCTGAGCTTATAAAGGATGCTGTGAGTGGTCAAGGAGGAGAGGGAAATGATGGGTCTTATTCAGGTGAGTTAGGCACTGCCCAGCCTCTCCCTTTCCATACTTCGATATCTTCCTCTTTTCTCTCTCTCCTGTCATATATCAACGGAAGACAAAAGGTTAGGTTAGGTTAGTGGGCAGGAATCAATTCTCTCCAGAAAGATGCCATTTTACATTGTCAATAGTAATATAGAGACAAAGGTCTCCCCCACACAGTGTATTATTAAGATAAAACCAAAAACACACTCTATTCATTTGATGGATAAAAAGTAGTCTATTGCTATTTACATATGTATTTATTTGATAATTAGTTCATTTTCATGTATTTATTGAATTTATATATTCCACATTTTATGAGATTTTCCCAATTTTTTGCTCATTTTTCTATTGTGATTTTTTTTAAAATGATTTATAAGAGCTCTTTATATATTAATGATACTAATCATCTGTCAGCTGTATATGTGGCAATTTAATCCTACTTTTAAATTTGCATTTTTGGTTATTGTGTGATTTGACATACATAAGCCTCTACTTTTCATGTAGTCACATGTCTCAATCCTTTCCTTTCTTCTACAGCTTTGATGCTTAGAAAGTTCTTCTTCAGGGTGAAGGGGAGAAGGAAAGAAAAGCACACTGCCATGTGTGTTCCTACGCAACTGTCTTGCATGCTCTGCTCATGTACCCCAAAACCTAAAATCCAATAAAAAATTATAAAAAAAAAAAGAAATAAAAAGTGAAAAAGCTGAAAAAAAAAAAAGTTCTTCTTCATGTTAAGATTATCTAAATATTTGCCTATATTTTTCTAGTTTGTTTAGAGTTTCACTGTTACATAATTTCCTTAAATCATCTGTTGTTTTGCTGTTGTTATGAAGGCAGGTAGGCATTTACCTTAACTTTTTTTTAATTAAAAAAATTTTTGGCCGGGCATGGTGGCTCACACCTGTAATACCAGCACTTTGGAGGCCAAGGCGGGTGAATCACCTGAGGTCAGAAGTTCAAGATCAGTCTAGCCAACATGGCAAAACCCTATCTTTACAAAAATACAAAGATTGGCTGGGCACGATGGCAGTTGCCTGTAATCCCAGCTACTGGGGGAACTGAGACGGGAAAATTGCTTGAACGCAGGAGGTGGAGGTTGCAGTGAGCAGGGATTGCACCATTGGACTCCAGCCTAGGTGACCCAGCAAGACTGTCTCAAAAAATTTTTTTTAAAAAATTTAACTAATTGTCCTGTCACCATTTATTTGTAATCCCACCTTTCTCCACTAAGCTTTTCCCCTGGTACAATGTTTACCGATGGAATAATGGAAGAGGGCAGGATCAAGGTAGTCTAGTTGGTGTGTGCATCCAGGGCAGGGTGGGTGAGTGGAAGGAGGGAGCAGGTGGTTTGGATCAGGCATTGCATGTATGCAAGTGGCATCTTGCATCACACAGCAAACAAACAAGGCCAATCTTGGTCTGAAAAAAGGGGACAGCAAGAATATGAAGGCCTTGAGAAAGAGAAATCATCATCTCCTCTTCATCACTGAGGTGCTGAAAGAAGTTAAACTAGTGGGTTAAAAGAAATCTCCTAACTTGGTACACTCCAATCTTCTGCTACCTCCTTTCCAAAATAACTTTTAGGTACTGCCAGATCATTCCAACCTCAGCAAATCATGGAGAGAGCATCTAAGTAACTCTCCTAATGATGAAGGGTTAAGCTGTTACTTAATTATGAAAATTAAGCCGTTACTTCAAAAACAACAACCTTGTGCTTTAAAATAAAAACAACAAAGACAAACATTATGCCTCTATTCCTTATCTCATGCTGGTCCCACAAATCCCATAAGCCACAATGTGCCTATGACTTGGTTATACTCAGATATACATTTTGCCTGATTTGCCTATGAAAGTGGTACTAGACACGGCAGTTTTTAAGGCCCCTGAATACAGAGGATCAATTTGGTCTCAATCTATGTTGTTTTCCAACTCCCTAATGTAGAAACACTCTGAGGACTAAAATTAGAGCAAAAAATAAATAAATAAATAAATAACTAGAGCTAGGAGAGTATGCACCAGGGAAAATCCAGGTTTTGGTGGGGCTAGTATTGGGAGCTTCTATCAGTAGAAGGTACATTTTGAAAGCAAAATTGTTAGGCAGGCCCTCCCAGGGGAAATGCACTACGAGAACAGCAAAATAGAAAACATTTATACATTTTTATTTTATTAATGTAGTTGAGCTACATACCATCCAGTTGTTTTCATCTTTTTCATGGCGGTAAGCTACATCATGCATTAAAACTTTTACATACTTCTTTTGCAAGTGTGATGTATTGAATGTCACCAGAAAGTCATTGGCTCCTTCACGATAGATGACACTTAGGTCAAAAGGAGCCTCAGGTTTAACTGGAAAAGAAAAAGAAATAAATTCTGCCTAAAGTGTGGCCAAGAAAATAATTATAGTATTTAAAATTCTCCTCTGCAAATCACTCTGACCCTTTCGTGTTAGAGAATGGCCAACTATTCAGAAAACCATCTCGTCTTCTTGGGTTCAAACCCAGTCCAGATTCCCCAGCCTCCCTTACAGTTGGGTGTGGCCTTGCAAGTGAGGTGAGTAGAGGAAATGCACACCCACTCTCGCCCTGGCCCAGACACACACCCAGGTGTGACTTCCTTGCTCCGTCCTCTTCCACCACTTAGAGTCCTGTGTTAAAGATGGTGGAGCCATAGGATGGAAAGTGCCCAGAATACTGCTTAGAGGAGCCCCACCTGTAGATTAGAAACATCCATTCTGACTCTGATTGTGAGTGAGAAATACAGTTATGGTGTTTAAGATGTCATGTGTTTGGGGGCTTATTTTGTTACAGTAGCTAGTGTTAATTTTATGCTAAAACACATCCTCTTTGCCTTCTGAATATTGGAGAACTTGTTACTAATGAGCCCCATAGCAGTAGTATTTAAACATTGAGTCTTCATCCTTGTAATGAAATTAGATTATATGCTGTGAACCTTGCACCTCATCTCAGTTATAGTGACTTGAAGTGTCTGCACCCTGGCCCTGGCTAGGACCTTCCAGAGTGGCCTTAGGGGGACCCCTTTTGTCAGTCTCTCTGCCTTAACACTGTATTCCTCTTGGGCTTCTTCCTACTGCCTTCCTGCCTTGCAGAGTTGCTGTTAGGATCAAATGCTCCACACATGCTAAGCTGTCGGAGGGAGACAGGTATCATTTCAGGCAGAACAAACCCAGAGAAATGTACTGATTTCCTAGAAAGGTCTTGAGACTTCCCTGACTTGCCCTCTTGGCTGTTCACTAATCACAGCCTGGGAAGTTAGTTGTCTGGGGATGGGGGTGCTACTTTTTGCATGACTGATCTCAGGCCCAGTTGTTCATTAGAGGATGAGGGTTCATCAAACTTTCACTCAGTAGAGTGTGAGCTGGACTTTAGCATTACCGGCTCAATAAAGTGAAACCCTCGTGGCAGAGTTTGGCCTAGCTCTTGTAGTCACTTGTTCATAGTGGTGACTGCCTGTTTCCCTGCTTTGCCATAGAGGTGCTGAAAAAAAGGTAGTGACTTCATTTTTCACTGTTGGATATCTTGTCAAAGGGGAAGTCTATCAAAAGGGAAGATGCCCGAGACCTAGAGGGAAGCAGGAGGAAAGGCAGAGGGTGGAGAACAGCCCCCCAGATAATGCTGGCAATATTTTCGCCCCTCTCTCCAGTTCCTGCCCTTCATTCTGTTCTCAGCAAGGCCTTCTGAGCTGAAACCCCTGCCCCGTGCCCATCTTTTAATAAAAGAGGAATTAAAGGAAGAACACATCTCCTAAGTACTGCGTGCTTTGCTTATACTGTCTTCACTTGTCACCACCATATTGATAAGAAAACAATCTCAGAGAAGTTAATTAGGTTTGGGCCCTGTAAAATGGTTTAAAGGGATTTAAATCTGATTCTCTGATTCTGAGGCTCACTCTTCTTCATTTAGCTTTTGTTTCTCTCTTGTTGCACATCACAATGGCTTGTCCTGGTGCTCTCTGGACAGTTCTGCCTCAAGTCCAATGATGTCTTTGAGCAAATTAGAAAAGGCGGCTCATTTGTCAAGCAGTATTTTAGAGGTAGTACATTCTTGTAGAATCTGAACAATCATATCAATCTACTTTGCCAGGAGACGTGGAAAGGCAGGAAGCTTCCCCCTTCAGCTTTACTGGGTCAAGAGACACCTAAACAAGGAGAAGTGAGTGTGCAGATGGTGGGTGGGGAGCTCTGGCTCTGGGGCTCAATCAGAAGCATCTAGTTTAAACTCACTTAAATGGTAGTAATGAAGTGTCCCATTAGGACGTAAGAGGAGATGCTGGTGTGAGACATTCCTTTACCATCTCTCATCCTGCTTATCCAGAGTGCTTTTCTTACACCACTCTTCCATGGGGTCTGTGCTCCCAGCAGTGTATGTACCGTATCCCTCCCTCTTGCTATTCAAAAGGCATGCCTGATTTGCGGTCTGCTGGGGGATGGAAACTGTAAGAGCATTGGGTATATGGGATATGGGGATTTGGAGACTTTGGTGTCACCTGGAGACTCTGGGTGTATTGTGAGTGTTTACGTGCATCCAAGGGCTTGCATGCTGGTGTGGGTTTTTGTGAGAATGGGTTCTGCTCTCATGCTCCAGAACCTTGTCAGAAGACTGAGAATCTCTGCCTTCGCTGCTCATTCTCGGAGAAGTGAATGTATATTTGCAATGTAAGTGGTGGACCTTTAGATATGGTGCCCCATCCATAGAGGCCTCATCTCCAAATGAACAAAACCCGACTTTTTCATAACCTCGAAGATACTTCGTCCTCTGCCCGTAACCAGTACCCACACTGGTCATGCCCAATGCTGCTGCTGTGTGGCCAACATGCACAGCCATCTGCCTAATGTCTCTTTTCTACTACATTTGCTTTTTCACAAGTTAATTGTTCACACACGGAAATTCTGCTTTAACTCTCTGTTTTACCATCTTAGTAAAACAAAGCTGAGAGAAAGCTGAGCTAGGTTCCTCATTCTTTCTTGTCTCTAATGAGTATCACTCTCTTACCTTTAATTTTCTTTTTGAGGATTGAAGGGGGTGTGAATAGGGAATACTAAAGGTATTTTTTAGACATGGCTAACATTCAAATCAATAGACTTTGAGTAAAGCAGATTGCCTTCCATGATGTGTTGGGTATCACCCCATCAGTAGAAGGCCTCTAGAGCAAAGATTGAGGTTCCCTGAAGAAGCAGCAAATGTATCTCAAAAGTACAATACAGAAAATCTGCTTGAGTTTCCTGGCATATGGAATTTAGACTCAACACTGCACTCTTCCCTGAATTTCTAGCCTACTGGCTTGCCTTATGGATTTTTGCAATTGCCAGTCCCCAGAAAGACAGAAGTCAATTTCTTAATAGAAATCTCTCCTGTCAATCATCTCTATCTATCTGGCCTCCTACTGGTTCCCTTTTTTTCTGAAAAACTCTGACTAACAGAGAAGATATATATGCTTTTTAAAATAACTTGATAAGTTAGCTAAACTCACTCAGAATGTTGTAGGAATTTGGGGAGAAGACCACAAAGAATTCAGGAGGACAGGTGAGGAAAGAAAGGACACCTGTGGATGGATGACAGGAAACCCAGCTCCAGTTAGATACTTCGTGTAGATTTACACACTCTCTTTCACAGCTGGGTTTGAAGAGCCTCAGAATTCTTTCATGGCAGGAAAGCAAAAATTTCAAAATTTTCATTTATTAAAAAATTTACAGTAGAGAATTAGCTATTATCAATTACCAATTGTTTCCACTATTTGTCTACTTTTAACCTACAGAATTTCCAGACACAGTGTTTTCAGGTATCCAAGAAATGACAAGCATACCCCTTCTTCTTACCTGTACAACTTCTTACCTATAGTGGCTACGTTTACGTTTTTGCAGGTTAGACTCTTTTCTCCAGCCTTCACACATATGTTGCTATTTCCAATCAATAGGAATTTCTTCGTTTCGATGAGATATATCTCTTGTAGTTTCCTGAAATTCAGGCACCTTACCTCCACGAGGGCCCCACTGTAGGAATGAAAAGGGGATATGTCTTGATTCAAGTGGGAGTTCCTGTATATGACAGAATAGTGTCATATGCACATTGCTATATGTTTGACTTTAACTCTGTTCATAGGTATGTTGGTGGGTGAGTGGAGTCATGTTCAGGAATGAGAGATAATGAATTGAAATCATGTGGCTTTCTGCTGCCATTGTACTTAGAGATGGTTTACTCAGAATTAGAGCAGTTGAACGTGAAATAGTCAAAACATGCTTATAAGAATTATGAAAAATTCCTGTATTTTAAAATAATCAATCATTGAAAAACAAACACTTTGTTTAGGTAAAGAAGTAATTTCTTTTTAATGTTCCATGGGAATGTACATGAGAAATAAGAGTTGTAAAAAAATTGAATAAAAAAAGAGTTAAAGAAACTGATAACAGAGTATAAAGGGTTATCTACATATAACATCATATATACCTGATGGGTAACAAAAGGGATTTTCATTAGGTAATTTTGGCTGATAAACCCTAACAAGACTGGGTAAGAAAACAAAGATATAAATTACCAATATCTGGAATGTAAGAGGAGATAACACTGCAGATCACACAGATGTCAAGAGTACAATAAGCAAAGTTTAAATGCTATTTTAATGTATGTAGTAACTGAGATGTAATGAAAATGTTTTTACAAACAGAAATTAGTAAATCTGACATAGAAATTGATTATTTCAGTAGTTATATTTCTTTCAAAGAAATCAACTTACTATCAATAAACTTTTCCACAAAGAAAACTCTATTCCTAATGGTTATATTCTGGTAAGTTCTAGTAAATGAATGAGAAAAGAAATAGTGCCAATCTACATAAATTCTTGAAGAAACTAGAGGAGGAATGACCCTTCTCAACCTATTTTTTGAAGCTAGCTTAATCCTGGTACCAAAACCTGGCAAAAATATTACAGAAAAGAATTTGATAGATAAATATCCCTTAAAAATCCATCAGTAAAATTTCACAAGAAAATGTTAACATATATATTCTAATTCATATTACAAAGTAGAGCACATCTTAGGAAACCAGAGCAGGTTAAACATTCAAAAATCAGTCAATATAATTTGCCACATTAACAAACTAGAAGACACGAATAACCTGGTTATAGTCAATTGGTGCATGCAAAGCATTGTTTAATAACACGAATGTATTTATTCATGTTAAAAACTCACAGCAGACAAGAAATAGAAAGACATTTCTTCAGTCTGATAAAGAGCATTTACAAAAAGCCTATAGTTACTATCATATTTAATGTTGAAATTGTGAACATAAATTGTTTCCCTAAGACCAGGAAATGACAGGAATATCCACTTTCACCATATCTATGCAGTGATGTACAGGAGGTTTTAGCCAATGTGCAAAACAAGAGAAACAAATAAAGTGTATGCAGATTGGAAGGAAGGAAAAGGTACTTCCAGTACTTGCAGAAAACATGTTTATTCACGTGGAAAATGATAAAGAATATTCAATACAACTACAGAAATGAATAAAGTGAATTATCAAGGCCATTTTACAAAAGTCAGTTTATATGTCTATAGGCTACCATCGAACAATTGGAAAATGAAATTTAAAAATGATAGTTCAATTTGATAGAAATAAATATACAAAGTACTTAAAAATAAAATTAATAAAAGATGTTCAAGGCCTGTGCACCAGAAATTATGAAACATTGTTGAGACGTTTTAAAAGAAATCTAAGTAAATAGAGAGCTATGTTCACAGACTAGCTAATTCAATATTGATAAAATGAAAATTTCCCCAAAATGGCCCATATATTACTCAAAGTCTCAGCTGGATTTTTTAAAGAAATTGACAAGCTGAATCTAAAATTTATGTGGAAATACAAGGAACCCACAATAGTCAAAGCAACATTGGAAAAATTAGAGTAAATATGGAAGACTCAGAAACCCGACTTCAAACTTAGATAAAGCTATGATAATCAGAACAATTTAGTACTGGCATAAGGATAAATAAATTGATTAAATAGAAAGAATTCAGAAATATACTCACATACAATGTTAATAAATTTTAAATGCAGGCACCCAGTAAATTCAATGGGGTGGTAGCACATCATTTTCAGCAAATTTCTTTGAAACAACTGAGCAAATGTATAGAAAATATAAACCCTAGTTCCACTTAATTATGTAGGATTAATTATATATTTGATGTAGACCTAAATATAAAGGCTAAAACTGTAGAACATTTAAAAGAAAACATGGGAAGAAATCTTCCCTACTTTGGGAGTAGGCAAAGATATCTTAGCAAGGTTACAAAAAGCATTAAATATTTTTTTAAAATGTTATATTAGACTCCATCAAAATAAAAAAAATCTTGCTTATTAAAATGCACCATTAAGAAAATAAAATGACAAGCTTCAGACTAGCAAAAAATAGATGCACTACATCTATCTGACAAAGGAATTGCATAGAGAATACATATAGAGTGCATATCCAGCAATAATAAAAGGACAAATAACTCAGTGATTTTAAGAGATGGTTGCCAAAAGAAGACATATGAATGACCAAGTATATGAAAAGGTGTTCAACAGTTGTTATTTGAGAAATGCAAATTAAAAAGCCCAAGGAGATACTGTCCCAAACCCAAATATTGAAAATGATATATAGCTCTTATACATTGCTGGGAGGATAGTAGAATGGTATAACCACTTTGAAAAACTGTTGGGCAGTTTCTTATAAACTTAGATACTCTCTTACCTTATGACACAGCAATTCCATTCTGAGGACTTTTTTTTTTTTTACCCCAGAGAAATGAAAATATATATTCACAAACTGATTTGTAGAAGAATGTGAACAGCAACTTAAAAAATAATAGTCTCAAACCTGAAAAAATGCAAATGTCCACCAAGAGGAGAAATAAAAATTTGTGGTCTATTCATACAGTGGAATTACTACTCAGCAATTGAACAGATGAGCTGTGAGATGGACATCAACATGGCCAGCTCCCACAAACACTGTGTTAAACGAAAGAAAGCAGAAAAGAATAAAGCTTTATTCTATTAATAAGAACCATCAGAAACTGGCAAATAACAAAGGGTGATATAATTGAGAACTATGCTTGCTCGTGGGGTATGAAAGTTGAATGGAACAGAACACGAAGCATCCTTCTAGGGGAAAAAAAAGGTCTATATCTTTATCGTTGGAATGGCTACATGTCATAGACATTTCTCAAAATTCACTTAAGTTTTGTGCATTTTACCACATGTAAATTTTACTCCTAAAATGCATTGTAATAAAGCAAGAAACTAAACAAAAATGAATAAATAATGTAAAAATTTAAGAAGGAACAAAGGTGTATATTCTCATTGTAAGGTAATTCAAAAAGATAGAATAAAAGTGAAATCACAGGGCTCTTTTCCTTCCCTAACCCTAAATTTAATTTTCCTCTTCTGTGATAACCACAGTTACCAATTTGTTTTTCCTATGTGCTCTTTAAGCTCAGCCAAATAGCTCTAAGGAAGTATAAGCGGGTCAAATTGGAAGTGAAGATCTAGGCAGGAAAAAAGTGCCTCTGGGTAAGTTTGCTTTCATGAAAGAATTCCTTCCATTGACCAGATGTAATTTTGTTTAAATCCTAAGGAGTATGTTCAAGGAAGTCCTTTTGAAAGACCTGCGACCCAGAATGCGTGTTGGTTTTCTATGGTGAACTGGATGTGTGTACACTCTTCTCTGCATATGCCCAAGTGACTCCTTTCTAGAAGGGTTCCTGGACTCTGCACAGAAAGAGGGACATGCTTGCCTGGCTTTAGGTGAGCTGGCCAGGAGGTTAAAGGTAGAGGAGTGAGCCCCAGCTTTAGATATGGAATCTTTCACCTTTGGTTTATTGTGGTGTGTGAGTGACTGGTTAAGCTCCTACAGTCAGGAAAACCAGAGCTTGGTGAAGAAATGTTAAGTGAATTAACTGGCTAAATACAGTGATTATTTTTGGGACATTCTTTAAGACTGTTTTCCCAAATAATAACTTTTGTTAACTGGTTATACAGTTGTTTAGGCTTTAAAGAAAATGTGTGTATGTGTGTGTGTCTCAAAGTTACTAGAAAGTTGTGCTTCTTGTTGGGGTACATGGACTTTTCCACTTGGAACAGGATAAAAATAAAAACAGATTTTGTGAGTAAGCTAGACAGATACCAGGGAATAAGCCTAGGACAAACGTCAGGTGGAAAGATCTGAAGATGACAATGTTGTCATAATTTGATAAATAAATATAGAAGAGGAGACTGGGAGCGGGGTCCCATTTCTGAATTTTAGGTAAACACGGGATGTGGAGAAACTAGGGCAGTAGCTTTTAGTTCAACCCTTGAGTATAGATATATTTGTAAGGAAAGTATGTGTTAAATAGCCAATTACAGTCCCCAACCAGTAGCAAATTTCTAGTACTGTTGGGAATTTAAGAGGGATCTAAAATGGTATTTTCAGCTCATTCCCGCGTTTTTGAGAATGAAATTAATGGACAATGGGCAATCAAGGATGACCATACGGCGGTCTTGTGAAACTGGGTATCCTTTTAAGGGCTCTGAACTCCAGGAGTTAATCTACTAAAGAGCTCATACTAATGTTTTCCACTGAAAACTTTTCTTAAGGCAGTACCTTTCCAATGGAAATATCTGAATCCAATTGGAAAACCCAAATAGAGGAGGCTCTGGACAGATTACAATATGACAGAAAAAATCAAGAGACATGTTAAAGGGCAAGTGTGTTTGAGTGGTCAAGGAAGTGGTCAAATACGGTGTGAATGAAAGTGAACAGAAAGATTAGCCTCAGCTTGGCCAAGAGAAACCAGGATGAATACTCAGTCCACCAGACAGCTGGTTAAAGAAGCCAAAGTGAAAACCTCTGTGTGGGAGGGTGTTTTGCCCATAAAAATAAGCATATTGTTTGAATGAGTTGTTTGGCTGTTTCGGTGCAATTCATTTCCAGCCTAGATTCTGGACATTGAACTGGTTCCAGTTCTTTTGACATATTTTATTCCTGGAAGATATGTTAGGGAAGTGAACAGAGGCTGACGGAAAGCACAGTACAATAATCAGGTCCAAGGGCATGTTTATCTAAGCACTGCAGGAGGAAGCACTACATGATAGATGCAGGAAGCTCCCATAAATTAACATACGTTGGAGTTCAGGGCTTGTTTGGACTATATATTATGGAGAATTGTCTCAGTGTCTATGGAACATGAGAAGCCTTCTATTACTGTTGGTGGATCTTGATTTACTTTGCTCACTAGGAAACTAACTAAAAATTAGGTCATTCTGATATAAATTTGGAGATAGCCACACGTCAGAATTTTAAGTTAGAGTAGTTTCTCAGATCACAAGAGATAGTAACCCTTGGCAACAAGAGAAGACTTGTGGAGGAAGGAGAAGATAAAGTTCCCTGAGACCTTAAGTAAACTTTCAAACCAATGACTTTTCTTTGCCTTTTCTCTGAGACCTTGTGAAACACAATGTCAACTTATTCCTATGAATTTTTTTTTTTTTTTTTGAGACGACGTTTCGCTCTTGTAACCCAGGCTGGAGTGCAATGGCGCGATCTCAGCTCACCACAGACTCCGCCTCCTGGATTCAGGCAATTCTCCTGCCTCAGCCTCCTGAGTAGCTGGGATTATAGGCACGCGCCACCATGCCCAGCTAATTTTTTGTATTTTTAGTAGAGACGGGGTTTCACCATGTTGACCAGGATGGTCTCGATCTGTTGACCTCGTGATCCACCCGCCTCGGCCTCCCAAAGTGCTGGGATTACAGGTGTGAGCCACCATGCCCCACCATTCCTATGAATTTCTAAAAAAATTTACATTGAGAGGATCATCTGAAGTCAAATTGTGTCAAGAGGGTAGAAGTTAGGTCAATATTCACAGAATTATATTTTAATGTTACTTCCCCATTACTCGTTATTCACTGACTATTTGGAATGATTTACATGATGAAACTATTTAGCCATCACAAACTTCCTGTGAGGCAGGTTATCTCACTTTACAGGTGAGGAAACTGACACATAGATACATTACATAACTTTCTCGAGGTCAAAAAGCTAGTATGCAGTGGTATTGGGACTGGAAACAAGGCAGTTTAACTGTCATGCAACTCGAAGATACTGGATTGTCTGATGTTGAGCAAATAGATTTTTGGTGAGGGGTGTTGTAGGAGATGCAGGATTTAAATTCTGCTATGAAGTTGGGAGGAATGTGGGAATCCCCAAGATCCAGAGCGTCATTTGACTCACCCTCCAGATCTGAAAGTTGAACTGTGAGAGGAGCTTTGCATAAGTGTTTTTGGTGAAGGACAAGTAGTTTCAGGAGGCTTTTGGGAATTCCTTAGATGTTAACATTTGTTAATTAGGCCACATGTTCTTTCTTTTGCAAGTATTAAAAGAAGCACATGAAAAGAGAGACAGAGGATGTCTAAGCAATCATTAAAACCACCATTTCTCACCATATTTCAAATTCCAGATTGGTGGTGTTGACATCTGGGTCCTCAAAAGCACAGGTCAGCGAGTGCTGGGATCCGTTCACTTCCAACTGGCTATAGCATGAGAACGAGTAGTCATCCAGTTCTGCATCTTCCAAGTCTCCTGGGGAGGAATAAATATGCTGCTGTTAAGGAAACAAATGAATGTATCCTTTTGAAATATGGCATGACCTTAATAAATTGGCAGACATGTCTTATCTAAAGAAGGAAAGGCAAAGACAAGAAAAATATTTCAAAACCAACCAACCATCAAAAAACAAAAACCAAAAATGCTCAATGCTAACAGAGTTTTCCAATAAAGAAGTCCAACATAATGAATAAGTGACCTCCAAATATTTCTTAGTTAAAGAACCAGAGGTACTGAACACATTCTTTTCTGTATTTAAACTGAAATTTCTTCTGCTACATTTGTTACATTGATTGTCCATATATTTCAAAGAAGATATACTTTATTTCCATTATTCTCATGCTACCTAATCTCACTTTTGACTTCATTACAAATCATAATTTATTCCCTCCTAGTATCTTTTTTAATTTTCTTAAATGAAGGATAATGATAGCTATCTTCCAGTTAGAATTTCACTTAAGAGGTCACTTTCCCTTGTGTAAAAAGGCATCCCAACTAAAAGTGGCACTGATTATCTCCATTGTGTGACTGTTTAAATGCACTGATTATCTCCACTGTCTTAAGCTACCAACTGAGACAAACATGCTTAGGAAAAAAATTAGATCTGGTAGGACTCAGATTTGGTGAACCTTCCTGTTAATGTACATACTGCTTCTGTTCTTATAGCTTCTTCTATAGACACAAAGAAAGTGGGGAACCAGATTTTTTTTTTTTTTTTGCTATTACTTTTGGAAGGTGTAATCTGTCACATATAGTATTTGGTTTCTTAAGCTGAGTTGTAGACCCTATAATGAAATCTACATTTTGTATGTATGTTTTACATGATAGGAAAGTGAAGCTAGATAAATAGGTCAGAAAATATACTCCCAGTGGGACCTGAGAAAATCCAGTGTAAGCAAAGCCATTCTCAGAGTGCTCTGGTGTAAGCCTAGGACTGCTTCCAGGTTATTTTGGTTCATCAGTACTAGAGATTAGCTTGCAAGACTTTACACTGGAGACAGATATACTAAAATCGAATCCCAGTCAAGTGTCCCAGAGACCAAGGGCTGTCCGAATAGCACTTTCTTTACTTAAATAACCCAGTAGGGAAAATGGGAAAGTTAGTAAAGCTGATTGTAAATGGACCAACCAGTTGAATGACAGGTTGATTCAGTCAATGCAACAAATCTCAAACAGCCCTAGCTAGACCATAGGTGTGGGCATTGCTCACAGCCACAGGCATTTGTCTTTATGGCCATTCCCAGAATCTATCCAGCTCACAGTTCTGCCACCAGCAGAAGTTCCTTATGTAATTCAGCAAGGTATGGCTCTCCTTCTGATGACGGTGTGAAATAATGAGAGGCAGCCCACCATATAGGGCTCACATTTCACGACATGTTCATTCTTAAATTTGTAGGCTTAGGTCTCTCTCCTGTGTACTGGCAGCTTTCTAATGCAGTGGCTCTGACCTTACATGGCAGTCCTCATATTGTTCTGACATTTTCTTTTCCACCAATCTTATGCATAGAACATACATTACTATTTGGATTCAGACATCCTTCATGAAGGATGTCTTCATGATTCTTCAATAGAAACAGCACACTCTAGCAAATGCTGGTGCCCATATAACAAAAAACTCCCACTGTCATCCAGTTTGGCAAAGCATACAATATACAATGAGCCATTTATATAGTTTCTTGCACCTAAAATGGCTGTGTTTTAGGAAGCAGCTCACTGGCTCTTCAGTAGGTATTACTGGGCAGAGTTGCTTTGTAACCAAGAAAAATTCCCTTCAACAACTTACAAAATGTTATGGCATTTTACAAAGAGAATATTCTACTTGACATGAGCTGAAAAATTATTGGCTAAGAGTAGTTAATGTACACAATGATCAAGACCTGTGGTGTCAGAGTTGGACAGCTGTGCTTTAAATTCTGGATGTTCTACCTTGTAGCTGTGATTCTCTGTCAGGTAGGCAACTTCTCTAAGACATATATTCTAATATGTCAACTCATGTTATGAGCAATCATTGAATGGATATATACAAAGATGTAGCTTAGAACACAGCATTTAATAAGGGTTAACTATGAGTATAATATTTTCTGAGAAATAAGTAATGAAAAGGTAAAATAAGAATTCTAATTCTGAAAATGTACATGAAACATTTGAGTTTCTCTTTTAAATGTTTATGTCAATTGAAGGTGTTATTACCACTATTGTTGTGAAATTACATAGAGCTTTTGAATAATGAGTTAATCTATTCTTTAAATGCTCAATAATTATTATTTATATTTAAATAGGGATCTAGACATATTTATCCATACAAAATTTAAATTTTGTGGAATATGTATTATAGACAAGCCAGTGATATTTAGAAATCTTCTTCCTACTGAATGGAGTTAATTAATAGTGTAAATGATTTGGATTTTTTAAAAAGTATCTCTTTCTTCTCTTGATCATCCTTATGATGTTCAGAAAACTATCAACAAGAAGCAACTGAATGTGAATTCTTTATACCCCAAACTGGGAAGTATTTTATGTCATCATGTGAATCAGGTAATTATAGATCTTCTGAAAAAATCGGAAATTTAAAAAGTTGAAGTGAAAACCCAGTTTTCAGCTACAATTCTTATATATTTTAAAAATAGTATTATCACCAGGGAGAAATAATGAATATAGATGATACCAAAGAGAGTAAGATTTATGTTTCCTGCCACACATCAGTCTTTGCGCAAATCCAAGGCAACCTTTAGCACAGAATAAAATCATCCCCCATAAAGTGAGTCATACATTGTAAAAAACGTCCAACTCTCTGACAATTCCCTTAATGAGAAAATTCTAGGGATTTCCATCCTTTGTAATTACATGACTCAAAATATCTAGGCTGAGTCATTAGGCTGATGTATTTGATATTGTCTATAGACAAATACTTTTTGACTCTTAAAGTGAAAGGGCTTGATTTGCAGGAGCAAGTCGATGATCTAAATCCCTGCATGCCGCCTTCTGCTGCTAGGAGCTTCTGCCTAGTTTTGTTATAATCACAATGCGTTTATGTATGGGCAGAATTGGATTCTAAGTACTAAGTTTTTTAGACCCCAAAGAGAATTATTACATATGGTCATTTTGTTGGTGTGAAGGCAATTCAGTGTATTTCAATTAGTAAACTCATTTAGATCTTTCTCTAGTCTGTTATTTACTAAAAATCTCACATAAATCTCTCATTTAAAAAACTGACTGAATATGTGGTAAATTCTCAAACTCCATTCCAACCCAGTGCCCAACTCAGGTCTCAGGAAACTGAGTAACCTGAAACTGTGCTACAGATAATCAAAAATCCTTAAGAAAAGTTAGAAATGACTCACCATTCTGTGCATAGCCACTTTCTCCAGAAACGACTTGAAGTAAAGAAAAAAACACACCAAAAGTTGTACCTAGAATTGTCATTCTGAGAGAGAGAGAAAGAGAGAGAGAGAGAGAGAGAGAGAGAGAGAGAGAGAGAGAGAGAGCAGACGTGTGAGCCAGTGTGTATGAAATGAATGAGAGGAAGAGAAAGGGAGGGAGGGAGAAGACAGAGAAGCTTAGATCTAGGGCTTTATGCTTATCTAATCACAGACAGAAGGAAGTATAAACACAGCAATAAAGAAGGCAAGTTCCAGAAACAGGAAGTCTGAGTAAAAGTATTACTGCTATAAGCTGAGGTAAATGACATGATGAGGCAGAGCCTTTGGAATTACTGTATCTCCTGGATATTTCCTGCAGCCCTCACACTTACTGTGCTTACTTCTGGGAAGGCAGTAGATTCACCCCTAGGCTCAAGCTATCTTAGGCTAGGGCTCACTTAATTAATTAATTAATTAATTAATTTTTTTTTAATTTTATTTTTTCAGGAGAGAGTCTTGCTCTGTCACCCAGGCTGTAGTGCAGTGGCGTGATCTCGGCTCACTGCAACCTTCGCCTCCCAGGTTCAAGCGATTCTCCAACTTCAGCCTCCTGAGTAGCTGGGACAACAGGTGCATGCCACCATGCCCAGGTTAATTTTTGGAGGCAGAGTTTCGCCATGTTGGCCAGGCTGGTCTCAAACTCCTGACCTCAAGTGATCTGCCTGCCTCGACCTCCCAAAGTGCTGAAATTACAGGTGTGAGCCACTGCCTTGGCTAAGGGCCCACTTCAAAAGACTCTGAAGACAAAAATTCAAACTTGCAGAGTGAAGCAACTGGTTGTTTGGAGTGAGTTTTACTTTAAAGAAACAGTCTGCATTATGTGAAGTACTTATGTGTAGGTCTGTTTTAAATAGCTTACCTCCAACTTCCAAGTTTCACAAGAATAGCAGTGTTTCTCTTTTGTTCTCTGTGTATTCCTAGTATTTACTCAGATCTGACCCATCATAGCAGGGGTTCAAGATTTGTTTAATGCAGGGGATGGCAAACTATGACCTAGGGACCAATTTTTAAAAATTTATTTATTTATTTGTTGTTTTTCAAAAGGTCTTTATTTCCCCCAAGTAAGCCTTGGGACCAAATTTGGTCCATCACCTATTATTGCAAATAGCATTTCATTGGAATACAGCCTCACCCATTTGTGTATCATCTACAATTGCTTTTATGCTACAGTGGCAGAGCTCAGTAGATGAGATAGAAATTGTACGGTACAAATGGTATAAAATCTTTGCTATCTGACCCTTTGCAGAAGAAGTCTGCTGACCTCTTGTTCAAAGGATACAGAAGGTACTTACTTGGTGTATTTAAAACAGGACTCTATTTGTGAAAATGTGATTGCCACACAACTTTTCAGGTATATATAGTACATATGAACTACACTAGTACCTAAGTATACAAGGCAGAAGTCTGAGACCATGGGATAGGCAATTCAGACGCCCCTGAACCTATGGACAGTCAGAATCCTTCCCAATGTGGCCTCATGGTTAAAGTGGTGGTGTTTGTAAAGGCTGACTGCTTCTTGCTAGCTGCTAGATATTTTTTTCTTTTTCTTGAAATAAATAATCTAACCTGGATTCAGGCGATAAAACTCCACTCCTGATTCGCAGTGACTCTTTTTTGGAAAGATGCTGCAAGACTGCAATTACAAGGTGAGGAGTGCAGAGAAACTGAGTGATCAGTGAGTTATGAACTTCTGTTGGATTCACTGTCATTGGGTAGAATTGCTCCTGTGTACCTGGGAAATGGCTAAAATTAGCAGAGATGAACAACATCCCCCAAGATGTAAAGCAAATTGGAGGGACTTCAAGAGACGCATGATGAATTAGCTTGTCCCATCATTAGAATTACTTGACAATAATGAAGAAAAGAAGGAGGTGACACATACCTACCAGTCTCTGGATCCTCCTTTTCAGTTTTAAGACAGACTCGGTCTGCACCAGTTATAATGCCACACTTTGGACTATAGGCTCAAGGAATACTTCAGAGCAAGAATCCAACTGCAGGGGACATATTCCATCTTCTCCATTTCGTCGGGGCCTTCTCTGGGTATTTCAAAACATCTTCCAAACCAAATACAGAGTGACAATTTTGTGCATCATATAATAATTTATGTCCTCATTTATAATCTTGTTTTGAAAGCTTGGTTAGAAAATTGTAAGCCTGATTCACAAAAATTGGTATGTTTTGTGCAATTAGCTAAATATCCTTTCAAGAAAGCTATAATTATAAATTCCCATGAATTAAGCAAGTATTCAAGGAGAAATTCCAAATTATATCTATCTACCAACACGCTTCTCCTAAACTGCTAACAGATTGTCACTTCATGGGTGAGTAACTGGGTCATGTCTCTTTAAATTCTCTTGTTTATCATTTAAGTGGACTATCATTTTGATTGTATCTCTTTCCTTTAGTTGTGAAGATGTAAAAGAACAAAGGCAAGACACAATATTTTGGTACAGCATGTGCTGGTTCCTTCAGGGGATTTCCACTGGGTTGCTTACTTTCTGGGTGGGGCAGGAGATGCTGAAAAGACCTCTCGGAGAGAAGCCTAAAGTGTGGGGAGCTCAAAGAAAAATGAGATGCATGACCAGTCCTTCTAGAGATTGTGGGGGAAGAGCAGCATCTTCTCGCTTTCCTCACTCAGGTCTTGTTAGTCCTTTGAAGACTCAGAAAAGCTAAGGAAGAACGATCTAGCTCACTCTATCCCCCAGGTAACAAACATTTACTCTATTACTTTGTCATTACTTTTGAGAGACAAGCACAGAAAAAAGAAAAGAGAATGAGGAAGACTATTTGGCGGCACTCAAGCCTCCAAATGTGAAATCAAGTTGCAAGCATTAGACTGCAGTAGAAGCAGGCAGTCTGGCGTGGCAACTGGCTTGGATTATATTGCTACTCCTCCTCTTCATCCTTGTTTCCTTTCATTGCTTCATTTTCTCGTCTCTCTTTTGTACATTGTCGTCCTTTAGTTTGATGAGTTCCTGTGATGTAGCGTATCATTAAAAAGGAAAGCCAGCTGGGCCCAGTGGCTCATGCCTGTAATCCCAACGCCTTGGGAAGCTGAGGTGGGCAGATCACCCGATATTAGGAGCTAAAAGACCAGCCCTGGCAAACACAGTGCAACTCTGTCTCTACAGAAAATAGAAAATTTAGCCAGGTGTGGTGGTGCCTGTCTGTAGTCCTGGCTACTAAGGGCTGTGGTGAACTGAGATTGCGCCACTGCACTCGAGGCTGGGTGACAGAGCAACACTCTGCCTCAAGAAAAAAAAGAAGCGGGGAACGCCTACACGAGCAGAACACATTGACCTTGTTAACACTCCCAAGACCAGTTGGCAAGTCTCCCTTTCTTCTTTGTTTTGGTGATTATTCAGGCCATTTGTCCAACAGGCGAAACACAAGAAAAAGACTTATTTTATCTTCATATTGCAGTAAGTTATGTGGTGTTCCTATATAACCGGTAGAGCCCTAGCAAGTTCAGAGAACCAATCTTTCAGTGAGATCAAAATCCTAAAATGTTCGAGGGGTGTATGAATTATTTGGTTGTTTGTTATTTGTTAACAGGATAAAAGCCAGTTAAGGAAGGACTTCCTAGCCCAGGAAGTCTCATGTCCGTTTTTCTTTTTCTGATTAGTAAGGACAAAGGTTTCCCTGGGAAAATTCAGGCTAAGCATCTTGTCTTATTGCTAATGTTTACTATCTGGATCCATCTATTAGGAACAGAAACTTTGTCTCTATTCTCTACAGAAATTATAAATTTAGTTGGCCAGACAGATACCAGCGTATCATGAGAACTCTCAGAAACAAACTGTTTTAAGGACAAAAGTCCTCTGACTCAGTTTTCAGATGAAGCTCATAAAATAGTCCTTAAGCCTTGAATGATTTGTCCTAAATGAGGATGATCTAAAAGTCACTCACCTTGGGGCTGTATATTGAAGGACAATAAAGTGAAACAGCAGTAATAACAGGCAGTAAATGTTGCAACAGGAATATTCTGGGTAAAATCTGATGTTTGAAAAATATTCCAAACACATTCTATGACACATTTTATTAAATCTGTATCAACTGCCCCATCTACTGTAAACTTACCTTTCTTAACAGGTTTTATCCTTAAGGTGGGAAACAGAAATCTTGGGCACCAGATTTCTTCTGAAAAAAAAAAAAAAAAATCCAGTCCTGCTCAGGAGAGAGGCTGGGGACCCCAAGAACTGTGGACAAAATAATAAAAACATTCAGGGGTGTCAAGCAGGTGAGGATGGCTGTAGGGAAAGCTAATGCCACTCTAATCCTAAACGAATAGTCTCTAGTATTTGATCAACATGTGCTGAGTCAGTCCCTAGGGTTCTGAGGGGGAGTCCCAGCATCTTGAAATTTCATTTCCAGGAGCATGACATTTTCCTTGTTGTGGCTCTTGTTTCATTTCCCTTTCCTCCTTCCCCCACGTCTTCAGCTCTACATGTCTTTACGTCTTGCTGCCATTTGTGTTCTTTCTGGGCAGAGTTTGAAATGTCATACTTTTTTTCACCTAATGAGATTTTAGCCTCTGTCTCTGGATGCAATAAAAATGGAAACTTGGAGTACCAACCTTTCACTCTTTGCTGAAGACATTTCTGCCAGAAAGTGAATGGTATTTCAATTTCAGGACATGCCCACATTTTGATCAAGCGGTGAACAAGAGGGCTGGCCCTGGGAAGAGTGGTATGCCTTGTGGCAGAGGCTGAGTCACGGCACCCCTTTGGGTAGCGGGAGCTGGCATGGCGTCCCTGCAGCTCAGAGTCTCCCTCTCAGGCCTTCCCAGTAGACAGACAGTTCACACAGCTCCTGCTGCCCACTGCAGTGCCAGACACAGCAGACACAACACAGCACCCCGGTGTGTTTCTGAGAAAATTCTGGATTAAGCGACCCCATTCTGGGTACTGGCCTTTGTCCCCACACACAGTACTTGCCTCAGGGTGAGCTCCTCTCTTGCAGAACTGTTTGAGGGACCACAGTTAGTGGCCATACCCTGCAGGTTGTTTCCAAACCCGGATGACTGGGAGAACTAGCAAGAGCCCTTAATTCTATTCCAAAGCTTCCTCTGCAATCTTAGAACCCAATCCTCTGTGTAAATTGAGTCCCCAAGAACAGCTCTGCTATCCTATAATTTTCCAAGCTTAATATGCAGTGTCCCAGCCTGGGCAGTATGGTGAAACCCCGCCTCTACCAAAAATACAAAAAAATTAACCAGGTGTGGTGGTGTGCACCCATGAGTTACTCAGGAGGCTGAGGTGAGAGGATCATCT